GTATAGAACTGTCTCTGAGAGAGAATGAGTGTTTTAGTTTTCAAAGTTGTTGACTTGTATCTTTACTAGAGTTGATTTTGGGATACAACAAATGATGCAAGATCAATGTACCACTTAACTGCTATGAGTTCTTTTGAGCTATGGAAAATCTTCTGAGCTGGCTGCTGGGTTTGTCAATTCTTATTATCTAGAGCCTATTCCCTACCAACCAACTTTTTTTGGCGCGGCATGGATGTTGAGATAAAAACTGGATACCTGGACTTTTCATGAGTGTTGGAGGCAGGTTCTTCTATTGAAAAGAGAAACAATCAAGGACAATGATTATAGATATCTGAATTACGAAATGCCATATCTAAGCAAAAGACATGCTAAGCAGCATGTCTGAGCAACTGGTGCTCTCTTCAGTTTTTCAAAATATGTTAAGCAGCATGTGTCACTGGCTTTTAGTATGACTGTATTTGCTGATGTTCTTTTTTGTTTTAGGTTATTAGTCACGATTATTTGGGGCATTAAAATATTTGTTACATGTGAATAAGTTTGCCATTATTTCTTCCTTTCACTGTTGAAAATAGATTGGTGGACATATCCAGTTTTGAGAATTAAATTACTCAGTAAACTTGATTGATATGTTTCCTTTGATGTGACTGATGATATTGTTTTACAAATTGTTGTATGACGTGAGTGATGATATTGTTTTATGAATTGTCGTCCATTTCATGTCAATTCTTAACACATCTTGCACATTTTCTTCTTCAGATTAGTGCAAACAATGGATTATTCCGTTATAGTATTTGATACAGCTCCAACTGGACATACACTTCGTCTGTTACAATTTCCATCGACATTAGAGAAGGGTCTGGCCAAGATGATGAGCTTAAAAAGTAAATTTGGTGGTTTGATAAGCCAGGTGTGTTTGTGGTTTGTCTGCAGGCTTAAGTCAACTGAACTTTCTCTTACTGCTTTCTTCATTAGATTGGGGTATCTTGATGTGTTGCTGACTAGATCATAGTTATTGCTTTATGTGTATTGGTGTAAATTTTGGATTTCTATTTAGTTAATTATATTACTATGACTTATCTCAATGATTTTGCAACCAAGTTTACTGCTGTCTCAATTATTTATCTCTTCTAGCTTTTTCCATTTTAAGTTGAGACTAAACAAGCAAGCCACATGTTCAAATAGCTAAGCAGCGAGCATGTTGGTTAATATCTTTTTTTTGTTTCACTACATGCAACACTCCGTTTTAGGTAGTTCTGTTGAAGGTTGATGTTGCATGAAAGCCAGAAGGTGAAAGCATGAACAGGGTGATTTGCAGGAGGAGAGGGAGGAAGGAGAGATGAGAGTAGAAGCTAGCCCTAATGTTTAATCTTGTGATTTAACATCTTGTAGGATGGCATAGCCTCTAAATAGCCTACCAATAGGCATGGGTATTGAGTGAACATAGTCGATATGTTGCTGACAATAAGTATTCAAGTAGTTATAGACATGGGCTATAAGGCAAATAGATGATGCGAGGACATGAGCATTCCCTAACATATGTCCATTATTGAACCCACCGTAATGTGCAAAAAGCTAGTTGTATCGCCGAATCAGGTATGAGAAACTAAGAGAAAAAAGTACCATTTATTGGTTGAAGCATCTGACTGACCAAGAAACCACGTGGTACTAAATAGGCTCCCTCTCTTGTGCTAGCATACATTACATACTAGAAGCCGTGGGGTGAGGTGTTAAAGGGTGAGTATTTGTCGTATGCCTTCGATTTAGAAGAACAAAGTCCCTTCCTACTATTAAAGGATAAGGTTCAGAAACTTCTGTTTTAGGCCTGTATAATGAAAGTCTACTGCTTCGGCTTGATGTAGATGGTAACTGCTTATGGACTTTTTTTCACTTTTCTCTTGCATTTTTGGTGTGTCTTTCATGTGTGGTTTATTTCACTCATAATGTAATTTATTCATATTAGAAACTATTTCTGGCAGATGTCACGTCTCTTTGGTGCTGATGATGAATTCGGCGAGGATGCAATTCTTGGAAAGTTGGAAGGCATGAAAGATGTGATTGAACAAGTGAATAAGCAGTTTAAAGATCCAGTAAGATCTTACTCTTGAGAAGCTTTTCTGTTACCGATGGCTTGTAAATAGCAAATTCCTTCTGCAATAATAGTCATCATGATTGAGCTGCTTCACATGTTGGAGTCAATTTTTGGGCAGAAAAAATGAAATAGTATTGAAAAGCACTTGAGACCATATTAGACTAATGCTTGATTACTATTGCTTTTGCTACTTCCTCTCTCCATCTTGAGTGAACTGGCTTGAGGCAACTGGATGACAACACACTGTTGCTCATGCATGCTACCTTGTTTTGGCTGCAAGTTTGTGCAACTGTTCCACTTAATTAATCATTCCACTAATGTCTATTTTATTGTCGCAGGACTTAACTACATTTGTTTGTGTTTGCATCCCCGAATTTCTCTCTCTGTATGAAACTGAAAGACTCGTTCAGGAACTCACCAAATTTGAGATAGATACACACAATATTATTATTAATCAAGTACTGTTTGATGAAGAAGGTACTTTTCCATTTTTCAAATGTGTAGTTTTCTTGACTGAATAACATGTTTACTTTGAAAACAATGGCATTCCACTTACGTGTCTGTGTTTATGATTTAGCTGTGGAATCCAAGTTACTAAGGGCTAGGATGCGGATGCAACAAAAGTATTTGGATCAATTCTACCTGCTATACGATGATTTTCACATTAGCAAGTTGCCCTTGCTGCCACAAGAGGTATAAAGATTCTCTTTTTCTATTCTTCTTCCTCGATTGTTGAAGTGTCATGACTTTTCTCATCAATTCATTTGACAAGAATTGTCATTATCTAAAATGGCAAAATTGAGAAGTCTGTGATCCTAGATGTTCTGATCAACTTGTAATTGAGAAGATCAAAGCCTGATGCACACTTTTTTGCAGTCATATTTCTTACCTGAAATTATATTTGATTATCTTGTGTGGTCTGACTGAACAAGCAATGAGGTTTTATAGGTTTGTGGGGTTGAAGCACTGGAATCATTTTCACGCCATTTTCTATCACCATATCAACCTTCCCTTGTTCGAGGAACTGTGGAAGAGTTACAGGAGAGGATATCAGCACTGAGAGAACAGTTGAAAGATGCTGAAGCGCAATTAGAAAAAATCAGAAAAGGGAAACAGAAGGTTTGATTGAAAAGAAAAAGAATCAGAAAAGGGTGCATTTATGGGCCAATATCGTCAGTCACAAAAGCATTCTGTGCTTTTGTTGGATTTTTCAGACCGTTCAGATGCATAAACTTTTTTTGATTGTCATTATCTTTATTAAATTGATGCATAAACTTTATTCATATAAGTTATTTGTACCCTTCAGGCAGAAATACTTTTCATATATTGAATGTGTTGTAGCTTAGCCAAACAGAATTGTAGATTTTCCATGGACATCAATTTTGATTAAGCATCTCGGAATAATTTTTGTTGCTCGTCCGATGACTACTTGTTGAATGCTTCGCTTCGTTCTTCTCCTCATTTAACATTTCATGTTGTATCACGAATTTGTCAGGTTTGGGAAGTTATTTATTATTTCAGCTGTGGAGAAAACATACCCCGTTGTCTATGCCTGGAATTGAAGTTATTTTTCTTCTGGTTTTTCTACTTGCTTCAGTTTACGGCCAGAGATCTTCAGATCTATATGTTGTTAAAACCTGGTTTTGACGCTTACTTTGGATTATAAGAGTGTAAATTAACCAAACTACTCGACCGAGACTTGCGAGTAGGGGTGAGCATATTCGGTTCTTACCGAATTCATAACCGATTTCAAATTCAATTCGGTAATTCACCGAATTCTAATATGGTATGAAATAGGTAATGAGATTATGAATTAGGTAATAACCGATTTCGCATTCCAATTCGGTAATTGAAATCGGGTACCGCATTACCGCATTCGAATTACCAAATTGGCATATAAAATTATATAATATATAGATAAATGCTATTTAGTATTAGTATATACTACTAATACTTTATTATATTATATAGGTAAATGCTATTAATAATAATTAGTATATGGTATTATCAATTTATCATCATATCATGTACTTATAATAATAATAATATATAATAATGTACAATATATTATTTTAGTATTTGTTAATTGTTATATGACTATAATAATACAAATATATAGTAATACATAACAATATAAGATAACTATAATACTTATTATTTTATACATGAGTAACATGACTAGAATTAGATAATAATTAACACATATGTCATATATGCATATTGCATAATACTAAATATTAAACAATAAACATAATTAGTAATTAAATTTAGATATTGGTAATTTGATACATCATTCATGTTTGAATTATTGAATATTTGAATGCGTAATCTCTAACTTGCAAGTATTAGTGCACTGATCTATTCTTAACTTAAAAATTCATATTATCTATTCACTAATCTTAATTCTTAAGACTTTAAGTATAGATAAGACAGCTAAGTAGTTAGCAGTGTAAGTGAATGCATATGAATTGCAAATCAATGTACTAGTGTATTGACTTTCACAATAACATGTGTAAGTAAATAAGTTTTTATTTTGATTTGAAATAAATTATAAGTTTGTAACTAATATAAGTTATCACTAGTCATTGTAATTTGTAAGTTTGTAACTAATAGTACTTATTATTAATCAGTGTAAATTATAAATTCATTGTAACTACTAACTAATATTGCTTATTATTAGTCATTGTAAATTATAAATTCATAAATTATCACCAATCATTGTATAGTCTAAGGTTTATTCTAGTTTAAGTTAATCACTTTTTATGTGTTTCTTAAATCATAGACTAAGGATTGTAGGTATAAGTGATCAAATAAATGCCAATTAAACCACAAAATGATTAGAACATAAGTAATGTGTTCAATTATGAATAAATTTGGGGATCAAATTAGTAATAATTTATAAATCATTGAGGATTCTAAATTGAATGTGGAAGAAGAATTGGAGGATCTTGAAGCTTTAGAATCTGGTAACATATTTCTTATCTATTGTATATGCTGATTATTGTAAAATTTCATTTCTCTATTGTTTTAAAGTAACTACTATATTTCATTTTTATGTTTTGTTGCAGGCTTGACTAATGGAGGTGCTGAAACTTCAATCACTCTTTAAAGATAATAGAAGTCTGGAACTAAATTATGTTGCAGTCAGTTTTCAGATTTTGATTTCTGATTTCTGGTTTCTGCATTCAGTTCATTGTGACTTGTGAAATGTGAACTTGAAAAATGTCTGTTAGTGTTACTTTGAATAACTTGTCGTTGTATTGTCTATTGGCAGTTGGTACTTGGTACTCCAGATTTGTATTTGATGGATTTTGGCATTTGTAATGTGTGTGTAATAATTTGGATGTTGATTTCCTTTGAATTGGTGTTGTAGGCTTGTAGCCTGTAAGTTTGCAATTAGAATTAGTTTGCAATTAGCCTCATAGCCTGTAAATTGTACGGAAGCAGCGTTGCAAACTTAAGCTGATAACAGGTTTTTTATTTTTTATTTTTTAAATAGATGAATTCGGTTTAACCGAATTCATTACCGTTTTCAAATTTGAAATCGGTTTCGGATGAATTCGGTTATGCCCCAATTCGGAATTGAAAACGGTTTAAAATTTTACAGGTAGAATAACCGAATTCACCGAATTCAATGCACCGAATTACCGAATATGCACCGAATGCTCACCCCTACTTGCGAGTAACTTGGTCAAAGGTTCGGCTCAAATTTGGTATTGATCAAGTTTGAGTCAAGTTCGAGTTACTTAGTAAAATAATTCAGGCGAGTTGAGTTTGAGTAGGAAAAATTCAACTCGAGTACTTGCCAAGTTTCATCGAATAGCGTAATTATAATATAATTTTTAATTATTTATTTGTAAAATTACATTTGTAGATAAGATAATTATAAAATTATCAAAAAAATTGAGTTTGAGAATTTGATTGAGCTCAAATGAGTTTGATTTGGTTGAACTCAAAGCCGAATAGGATGAAATAAATTCGAACTCGAGTTCAAATTTTAAGAACTCAACAAACTTGACCTCAAGTACTTTTATTTGAGTAGAGTTTGAGTGGTGCATTATTCAATCTCAACTTAAGGTGCATTTGATAAAATTATAGTATAAAAACTGAAATATGAATCCATTAAATTATTGAATTGTAAAGTACTAAATTTGATATATTTGAGTGTATATCACATTAAGTAATAAGTAAATCACTTATTGTTTTGGAACAAATTTTGATTAAAAAATTCAGTGTCATTTAATTAATTCAAATGTTTTATTTTTGTTATCAAATGTATTTGAACATATTAAAATCTAAATCTATAATTAAAATACTGAATTGAATTATCAAACAGGGCTTCAATATCAGTCTTGCTCTTGGTAACGGGGTCTAAAGAAAAACCCTTGAGATTTCTGGGAATTGCTTGGTGTGGTTGGCTTCAGAATGCATGAAAGAGCATACTCCGAAAAAAAAAAAGGTCAACACTTGGGGTTCTAGTGCTCTACAAGTTAGCAGAATCTCAGAATTAGAGATTTTCTAGTGATTAGAAGCAAGTTGTTGAGATGGCCGAGTTGGTCTAAGGCGCCAGATTAAGGTTCTGGTCCGAAAGGGCGTGGGTTCAAATCCCACTCTCAACAATATAAATTCAAATTTTTGTAATTTTGATCATTTTTAAAATGAATTTTCACACCTCTGTGGAAACTTGTGCAATGATGAACCTTTAATCTAGAAGTGGTCAAATGAATTCATATCCATCCATATAAATCAACCTAAATGGATTTAGACGATTCATATAAATTTAATGGTTTTAAATGGATAACTATCTAAATCCAATTATATTGGTAAATTTAAATGGATTATCCATGTCATTCATATACATCCACTTAACTTAAAAAATAGAAAACACACACAGTTATTGCAAATATTCATAAAAAAGTGAAATAAAACCTTGTGAAACCATCTATTCTTTCCTTCATAACTTCCTCATATGCCAAATTAATTTTATAAGACCGCCTATTCTTTCTTTCGTAACTTTTCCATATGCCAAGTTGCCAATAACATTAATTACATTTTATTCGCTTCTAGTTCCTAGACTTTTCAGAATTATATTTTAGTCTCGACTCTTGTTTTTTGGATTAAAGTTTAATCCATCTTTTTGGGTGCCTGTACAACCAGATGGAGAACGACTTAGTTGACCCAATGAGCTCCTTTTTGCATTGCACGTAGACCTATCCAATGTAAGGAAAGGAAGAACGAGAAAGACCAGCGAAGGACAAATCACCACCGTTCAAATCTTGCGCAGGAGTCATGCTAGTCTTCTCCATGTCGTTCCAACTTATCTGAGATGTCCTCTAAGGGGCAATAATTTTCTCTGTATTGTTCAAATTTTATCAGATGCCCCTGAAGGGACAATCTGCAGGAGCTTCTCGTCGTCATTCATGAGTCCTGAACACTAACAAGATGTGATAAAAGCAACCTAAAAGGGGTTTAAACCCCAAAAACTTTCCGATCAATGGACTCTGTTTCTTGGGCTTCAATAAAGAGAAAAGTAGGGAGGAACAATCTACCAACAAGCAAATATACAAGTATTTCATTCTGATAAAAAACCAATTTGAAGGAAAAATAATATTTCTAGATGATCATACTAGTGCATTGTCATACAGTTGACGCATTCATAATAGTATCCACCTTTGTCTCTTTTTCATAGCTCAGGAAGAGCTCTATAATGCCTGTACTTTTTTTTTCTTGAACAAAACTAGTTAGGGGTTGGGGTGGAAGGAACTAATGAACGACATAACAGTCCTGGATTGGCATTCATAAAAGGAGGTCACTACAACAGTTCATGATGGAGATAGTAAATCATTTCTGCTCAACTGCAATAATACACAATCATCACTGGCAACTATCCACCATGCAATGTTGAAATGAAAACCACGATATCTTTATCTTCCAAATTTGTATCGAGCTGACCGCTTAGCTCCCAATCGCAGTCATTTACAAGGACTAGAACTCCAGGTCTCCTATATAAAATAAAACCATGGGTTAACCAACAACTTCAATGCATTTAAGTCCCACCTAAGGGCCATTAGAAACAATTTCTAGCAGCACCAGAACGTTGTGTTGCAAATCTCGAAGGTGCAACTAGTCCTGCTGGAGTTCCAACTCAGACCATATACTACAAGTTTGTAAGCCACCATCCAAAAAGAGAAAGCATACTTACACAGAATCTCCTTTCATGAACATTTCCGGCCTCTCCTTGATCAAATTGGTGCGAACCCAAGAGAGCAAGTGTTTCATTGTTAACTGGACAAGAAGGAGAACAAGTACTGTGTGAACATTCTAAACTATTGTTGGAGAAAAGATTCTGTATAATATGTCTTACTATAACATCTATCATCAAGAATGAAATTTACCTTTGACTCTCCAGCTTGTGGTTCAACATTAACATGGTGGATCTTCACAGAATCACAAAGAAGTTCCAGCCCCCCGCTAGGAAACAAAATGGATAACAAATAAGCATCTTCAAGGTCGTTAAATATTGAGGAAAAATTTTGATCAACCCTATTACAATAAATTCCATTTGTGCCTTTTTTTAAGGACCCTTCTTTTCCATCCCAGAACAAAATTCTGCCACTTAACTAAGGAAGAAGTGAATAGCGATAGAGCTGGAACACCTTGTTAAGGTAGCGAGTGTATGATATGGACATTGAGGTGCTCTAGTGGAAGGGCCACCCAGCCACAAGAATGCAAAAGAAAAGCAATTCATATTACTTGAACAAATATAACCAGTGTAAATTCTGACCATCTAATCTTAAATGCTCTTTGAGTATATATCTTAGATGAAACTTTAAGCTAGCATCAGAAGCTTGGACCTCTAACTCTCTATTACTACAGCCTAAACTGCCATAGACTTGGCACAATTAATTAATGTGTCCAGCAAAGATGCTGGTTTATTGCCTCATCCCCATTTTATTTAACCATTGGATGATGCACTACGATTGTGCCAAAATTTTGAAAAACAGAATAAGTCATACTTCAGCATAGAAAAGGTTCATTAATTAAGAGGTCACAAAATCTTTAAAAAAAAAAAAAGTGAGCTGCAGTACAACGAGTAGCATATGACCAATTCACAAAAGGGCTAGAAAGACTAATGAAATGAAACTTTTGATTTTCTCCTACCAAACAATTGTCTCTTCATACAAATCTTTACATGCAAAGGATTATCAGATGTTTTGTGAGATTCTCACGAAAAAGGAAAAGCCACTAATCGCATTAATTTGGCAAGAAATCAACTAAAAGATGGACAAAAAAATCAATTTTGAAGTTGTATAGAAGTAAACAAGTACTCTTGACAAAAATTAAACACCCTAAACTGAAGAAATAAATATGTAAACAGATAAAAAAGAACAAAGAACAGAAGAAATATTACCCAAATTCAAGGGTCAGCTTCATCTCCAACTAACAATATTTGAGCAAATCTGCGACAAGAATTTTCCTTCAGAGACAATTAAAAAAAAAAGGAGCGAAAAGAAAGAGTCCTTCCTTTAACGATCAAGCAACAAAACAAGTTGCTAGATCTAAAACCAGAAAATAAAATAGGTAAGATTGCTGTGTATACCAGAATAAACTCCTTCGCTGAAGAAGATAATCCTCCTCAGAAAGAAAAAAAAAAAAAAAAAGCCTGCAGCTGAAGAAAAAGCTAAATCAAATTTCCCACAACCATTGCAACCAACAAAACCAACAAAAACAGAAATTCCTCATATGCAGGAATAGAAGCACAAATTAGGATTCGAGCGGAACCTACTTTTATCGGGCTCGGGTATCAAAAACCCCGGGATGTGATTTCGGGTGCACCTCGGAGAAGGCGGGTACCATACAGTTGATTGAATGGTTGTTTGCCTGCTCAGGGTTTTGGCCGCGAATATATTGAAGTGTAAATTGGACTGGCTAGCAATCTGTGTTTATTACTATATTTTAAACTAGCCCTGCAATTCCTAATGCATTCAATTGAAGCCCCTAATATGTCAATCTCTTGGCTTAGCCCTTGGCCCTTAGTTTACTTTGTTGTTGGCCTCTTGGTTACCATGAATTATTGCCATCATTCATCAAGCTTGAGATGCATATAATTCCTACCTACAAATGGTAAAGTCCACAAAGTGAAAAGTAGAAAACACTTTGGTTTAATTAAGAGGTTCTTTAGACTTTATATACTATACATCATAGACGGAATGTTCGTCTCATAATTTGATTGTTCGATTGGTGTAAAGTGTCAAACAAAAAATTATGATTATTTTAGCTCGACTAAATTTAAGAAGATTTTGTTTAATGGGTACTCAAATAGACACTTTTTGATTTTTTTTTTAGGAGATAGACACTAGTTAAGAGAGTTTCAGATGTTACGATAAAACTTATAAATACAAAAAAGCAATGAATG